AATTCGCAACTCTTATGCAACGCACAGTAGCTTAGGGTCTCGTCGTTTCCATTTGCTGCGGGCTATTGTAGGAGACTGCACTCGGAGCTTGGTCCAGACTCATCGTCGCTTCCAGCTACAAAGGAGATGTCTGAGACTCATGGTGTTGGACACGATACAAATTCCAGAGTGCACCTTGTTCATGGTCGAAATTACAAAACAATCTTGTCATCTTCGGTGGAAAGGACATGCGTGAGGGTTCTACAGGTTGCTAAGATGAATTATGTCAAATGCATAAACCATCAGGTATTTACAAGTCTTCTTGGTAACGAGGATCGCACTGAGCATTCGCATATTTACTGTATTGCATCGTTCAACTGATATAACCAAAGCCTCGACTTCGCCAATCATATAGCATTCCCAATTTTGTGCCAGTCAAACCGCGGCTTGGGACTAGGGTAAGAGCGCATCACACAGACCACAAGTCAGCGAATCAAGAATTCCGGGATCCAGCAACTCATTATGCCGTTCTCTGTGATGGGATCGCTTAGATCCCAAGAAAAAGGGCCCGAAGCTTGGCGCAGAAATTCATGGCAGTTCTCAGATCCCCTTCCTCCTCCCCCCTTCTTCATTCCTCTATTTCTCTATCAAAACCCACTCAAATTTAGGGAACAATGGATTTTGAACAAGGAAATAGACGCCGCGTATGCCGAAAGTCTCATTCGATTGATCCTCCTTCTACGGCCTCACAAACGCCAAAAACAATATTTGACACGTCGCGCCGAGCGTGCCTTCTTACTGATGTACGCTACACAGCTGGCAAATTACCTCGTACAAAGCTATTTAAGATATATAATATAGTAAATCAAACTGGCTATAAAATCTTTAAAGAAGAAACTGTGTACTGTAGCGGAAAAGTCTATGATTAAGGTCGTAAAAAGATACTTACTTTATATAAGTGTGAAGTAATTAAGACTATTAAAGATATAAATTTTTCTGTTAAATTTTTTCTATTTAATTTTAACTTAATTAATTAGATGCTTGTTTTAGGCTCTGTAACTCTATGCCCATCAAGCCTAAGGCTTCTAGGGACTGCATAAAATGACAAAATACACACTTGATGCCAAGAAGGCAGACTTGGCGGGCTATCATTAGCGTACTAGTAGTTGAACAACTTTTGGGGCACGACTCCGTAAGGGGGCACCCTACAAAGGAGCCTAAAAATAACGTCAGATCACCCCAGCCTTCCCGGCGGCTCAAGCAGCCCTAATTTCTTCCTGTTTCCTTCAGCCTCCTATCTAAAAGTCCTTGGAACTCTACACGAGAATCCAGCAACAGTTGGATTCAACCGGTCTTGAAACGACTTATCTAGGGTCGCAACGTGAGGGAGTACTGAGAGAGCATTAAGGGGCAATGCAGCGGGCGCAACACAGCTCCGCAGCAAGTGGGAGCCTGGAACAAAGCTATCGATATCGGCTTGAGGTGCTTTTTTGTTGTTGCATGACATGTTCGGCTTCATCCGCCACGACACTGCCACCTAAACGCGAAGGCCTCAGGGACAAATAGAGCCCATGCGGCCGGCTGAAGGTAATTGTGAAACCCATGGCGTTTATCTCGTCACGCAATAGACTATTATTGGTTGTTGGCTTGCGCATCAGGGAGATTGGATAATGTAACGGTCCGGAGCTGCTGCGCGAACGTTATAAGAACGGAGGCTGCTTCCAAGACGTCTTCATTTGTGGCTGCATGACAACGTAGAAACACGATGGCTCCTTCTTCTTCCACGATAAAAGCCCAGGGTATCAAGATCGAAAAGGATCCAAGCCATATTACACCGCTGCCGCCATATGTGGAAGATCTACGGAAGCTACTACTCAATTTCAGGGAGATCTTGCCGCACAATCAGGTATGGTCAGCCTTCTCGAAACCTTGCATTATAACTAATCGCTTGTCTGCTTCCACGACTAGAAGCCAGAATTGGAGCTGCTCTATAAAAGAGACAAGGACCTCTTGAATAAAAAATTTCGGCTGAGAGAGAATATCTACTGCGATTCTGCCCACCCGATATATAAAGCAAGGTGGGAAGCAGCTATGGCGTTGCGCAACAATGCAAAGCATCTGCGGGATAGAAATAAAGAAGATGCTTGGACTAATTTGATAGGGGGTACCGTATTCGAGAAAATCAATCATCAAGCATCCGAGTGAGTTAGTCACCGTTCGCGATGGTCTAAGTAGACTAACGAGGACAGCGAAGGCATCCTTCTCAAAGATCTGTTGTCTTGGTAAGCATTGTCAACGAACCCGGGGACCCTGACCGGCAGCATTTTTGACGTGTACTCTTCAGGGGCTCGGATGAATTATTCACAAATGCCGTCGCTATTCGAAGACAATTTCCTGATGGCAAGAATCACATGCCGAAACCGGATTTTTGGTTTGGCCTAGGTCTTTACAATGACAAGAAACTTTCCCGGCTGTCAGGTCTTGAACTTAAGGATAAAGGCATTGAATATTTCACAAAAGAAAAGCTGGTGTGCATCAAAAGAAACCAGAACAAAACTCTCATATGTCAGCCTGGTACTTCGGAAAAAGCCGGTGCCTTTCCATGGATGGTCGTCGAATTGAAGAAGGAAAGAGGAGACGAGAAAGAATGTCTCATGCAAGCTGCAAATGCCAGCTATACTAGCCTGAAGCTATGCGAAGGGCTGGCAGCGCCAGCGATGAAAGACATACCTCCTATAATCGCTTTCACTTCTATCGGACCCGAAGCTAAGATCTTCATCACTTACAAGTCTGAAGAAGACGCTAAGGATGGGGTATATGTACGTCCTGCGCTGATTTGTGGAAAATGCGGCCCCAAATCTTCGATCTAGCCTGCTAACAAGTCTTTTGTTTTTAGCGTTTTTCTTGCATATGGAGCGGCAACATTGAAAACATCTTGCATGCTTTGCAAATTCGACGTATTGTTGATCAGCTGATGTACTGGGCATTGAGAATCTTCAAGCCGTGGGTGACCGAATGTTTGGAGCATTGGTCTAGGAAGAGAACGGAGGACGAAGGCGACGACGAGACGGACGACGAGACGGACGACGAGACGGACGACGAAACTGAAGACGGGACGGAAGAGGAATCTGAAGCGGAAGCGTAGGGAGAACGGACAAGTATTAACTCATTCACCCTATCAAAAGCAAGAAACTGATGTGTGTAAGGGGGTGCTACGGGCGTCAAGCATGCGATCCGAGGACGTATCGCCCTGAGGGGGGTATATTGTTAGGAGTGCCAAGAAGAGTAGATATAAGTTGGTTGTACGTCATGATGAACAATATCTTGAAACTTAGAAGAAGCGATTTAGCGAGTTGGTCTTGGCAAATTTTCGTGTACGATTCATCGCTGTTGAATTCCTTCTTTCTTTGGTATCGCCAAACCATTTTTCTTTCGTCAAGTGTCATCCACTTCATCAAGATCCACAATTGATTGAATTGTGATTGCCAAGGAAGTGAATCACGCCAAGATCACTTAGTCTACTTACCGGGAGAAGGGCTCTGAAAATGACGCGGTATTGGTCGTTAGTGATTTTGCAGACATTTTATTATTTTAAGGATCGTCAGGAGGCTCAAATGATCATAATTTAGCCATAATTTAAGCGTTGTTTTCTTAAAGTGACGTTTAAAATAATATAATTTTATTAGATTCTAGATGTTTAGCTAGCCGTGGCCCAATGGGTGGAGCCCTTACCAGGGCCCCACTTGCAGGGGGGTACCCCCCCTACAAGCCCGCGCGCAGCGCGTGGCTCTCACCATAACGCCCATATCAGCGTAACGCCCATCTTGATTTTCTTCCAAATAGGGTGTATTCTTCTGCGTATAGCTCCACCACAGTATGGCCGATTCGAATGAGGATATAGATGAGCGCGTAGAAAAGGCTGTACAAGAGATTCTTGCAGAACGCGAGGCAGGGGAGTTCCCTGTTGTTGCACAAATTAGATCGGAAGA